GTGATTTGCACAAGTGATTTTACTTTATAAAAGTGGAGGGAGTCAATGACGATCTGAAAAATTACAGGCCACTCAGACTGTTGCCAATCATATATATGATCTTCATGAAGGTACGGACGAACAAAGACGAAGAACAGTTAAAGGATCCAGTAATCTTCAGGCGTGGATTTAGTACAACGGATCACCTACAAGCGGCGTACATAATGTAATTCACACAAGAAACGAATATCAGCTCCTTCTATGACTGAGGCTGATCGATCTTCAGAAAGCTTTCGACTCAGTTCCATTTTGTGCCGAATTTTTTGAGCAGCCAGCGAATAGAAAAAAAAGTACAAAGACGATTTACAAGAATGCCGCTTCTAGTGTAAACTTCTCGGCAGCACTAGTTCAAAATCGAAAAGGATGTCTGTCAGAGAGACACAATATCACCCGAAGTTATTCACACCAACCGCAGAAGGTTTCAAGGCACACAGTTGGGAAAATCAGAGGCTGGTCATTGTTTTGAGGTATAGGATCCTTTGAGGTTTTTGGAGAAAATTCTGATCCTCTGGAGACCATCAGCAAAAACTACAAAGAAGAATCCAAGAGCTGAAAGACGCCAGCAACAAAGTAGGAATGAAAATGAACCTGAGAAAGACTCGGTAGCGCGAGCTGTACATTCGGTAGACTACGTATATCCGAGACAGCTCATTTCTACAACGCAGAACCGACGTCACGAAATCAAAAGAATAAAAATAAGTTGGAGCACTTTTGGAGACATGAAAATGTTCTTGTCAGGATAACTGCCCTACTCTGCTTGAAACGGAAAGTTGTCGATCACTGTGTACTCCAAGTGCTAACCTATTAATGCGACATGGCCCTAAGCCTGAAAGCTATTCATAAACTGCAGTACACGCAAAGCAGCATGGAAAGATGTATAGTGAGAATGAGTGGTAAAGACAGAAAGAAGAATGAATAGATAAGAGAGCAAACATAAGAGCCTGCGATATCATTTCCTGAGTAAAAAGGTTAAAGTAACAATGAGCATGACATGTCGCAAGAAGAATCGACCATCGCTGATCCAGAATGACATTAAATTGTGTTCCAAGAGACAGTAAACAACCCTTAGTAAGATCACCAGATCGCTGGTAGGATAA